GCCACGGAGCAGCCGCTCAGATACAACTCGTGTCGCGGATTTGACCACGCCCAATGCTGCGCCAAACTGCACCAACGCTCTGTCCCTTTCCTATGGCCTGCTACATTTTCCCAAGTTTTACGGAATTTGCGCCAACATTGCGCCGCAACTTATTTTCACTTCATTAATACTGGAATGTAACAAATGAGGCACGCTACACGACCGGATCGTTAGGGTAGACTTGTGCGAAATTCCAAAACTTTCGATTATCGCTTCAAATAACATGCTATTCCATTTGGTCATGCATCAAACTTTGAAAGTGCTTCGAACTTTGGCAATATTCCTCATGCTCGTCTGTTCTGGCTGGATAGCTAGCATCGTTGAGTGCGCTTGCCGCCGCGCACTGGTATACTGCAGTGACGCAAGAACCGCGTTCTAAGAACACCACCTAGACAGAAGGCCTCCGCATGGTCTCCTCTCCCTCTATGAAACGTCATCAGAGACAGAGTTGAATCGCGCTAACTCGGCTATTGGGACCGAGCCCGACCTTCGACGCGCTGATTGGACACGAGCCCCAGCCGAACACCGACAGAGCACTCGGGCCCAATCTCACGCCTCGATCGATCGGACTTTGATGACGCCTGCGGAGGCCTTCTGTCCACGTGGTACTTGGTTTTAGGCGTTGCCATTTTGCAAATCTTGCTTCGCCGCACCGCCTTCGTGTATTGAGGGGAAAACACGCCTACAAAGCGAGACGTTACGCGCGTGCTGATTGTTGTGATCATGAAGTTCTGAGCATAAAATGTAATTGGTGTCCATAATCAAGTGACAAAAGCTTTGTTTTCTATCTAAGCTAATGAATGCAGTTTTATCACTACATTTAGAACTTAAAGAAAACATAAATGTAGGATGTTCCAAATTATTATTTCTTAGCATTATTTCAGTGAAATATACTATTTGGTTTACGTACCCCTTACAAAAAGGATCAATGAGTTTCAATTGAGTTTCTGTTCAATTGAATGACTTTCAATTGAAACTCGTTACATTTTTTTGTAAGGAACGTTTAATTTCGTACCAAAAATAAGCATGCACATCAATTTGTACTACCCTTTGTCAATAAGCGTCTTGCTACCACGCCTTGTGCGCAATTAAATTCTAGTGAGCAGTGAATTGCGCACAAGGCGCAATTACACGCAATTAAACTGCCAGTTTGGAAATCAAACCTGCCATGCTGCTGGTGCCATCAAAAGGTTGCACAGAAGCAGAATGGCAAAGTATACATAAACACACAAATCTTGAAATAACACTTGACCCTGGTATGAATAAAAATAATATGTGTGCTTATGCTCCAAAAGTAGTTTTTGCGGCCCCAAAATGGAACTTTGGCTACTCCAAAAGATGCTTCAAAATTACTCATACCGATCACATCACTGCACACCGATGGTGTTTAAAGGGGCGATGCAACAATTTTTGTACTTTGTGCAAATACCGCTTAGAACGGATCGCTGACGTTAATGACTTATGAAGCACGCGTTGGTTTTTCACCCAACGCAATAGTTCCTGAAAAAAAAAATGAAAAAAAAAGAGCAGCGTTCACCCCCTCAACTCACAGCGAGAACAAGCGGCCACGTGATCTGGAGCCGATTATATGCCGCCAATGTTGATCATAGCCACGGGCTGGGGTTGGCAATGCACAGGACACGCGCTGAGTTCCAGACATTGTTATGGCTCGGCTATTGTCGACTTTGCAGCGATTGGACAGGGGCCACTACCCAATTCATGTCGAGCTAGCGGTTGTACTGCACTGGCTAAATTGCTCATCTACAGCGAGTGACTCGTCGCAACTTTAAATGGCTGACCAACTACACGCTGTATAAATATCCCCATAACCCAATTTGCTTTTTTTTTGTTTTTTTTGCGATCCTCACGTTACGTCATCAAATTTTACAAAGGAGAGATTGAATGAAAATGATCGCTTCTGTCCTTGAAATTACACCGCAACAAAGGAATTTCTTTGCCAGTGGCCTTGCGTGCGAGTATCCTTGAGCCCCACTAGTGCCAGTAAGCTCGTGTAAAGTGAAAAACATTCCAACTGAATATCGTTGCACCGCTCCTAGGCGATTTTTATCATCATTTCCGTAGCATGCGCTTCTCGCCGTGCACTGGTGCGCTGTGGAAAAGTGACACTCGTGGGGTGGCGCAGTCACTAAATTAATCGTTTAAAATGTAAATGTAGCAGAACCCACGGAAAATCCCCAATAAAGCACGCTTCTCACAAATTACACTTCAAAATAAATTTAGACCAGTCTGGGTCATTCTGCTAATCCGGAGAGCACATGAGTATATGTCGTTTATGCAACGCATCCGAAACCACCCGAAGCTCCCAGTAAGCGAGCACAAGAAATTTTAACGCACACTTAATGCACGCAGGACACAATCTGTGCTTCCCGGATTTATCAGAATGATCGAGACGAGTTAAATAATATATCGTTTTCTTTAACGATACACGAAGTATTTTACGCGATGATTTAGTTGGAAGATATCGCACTCACCGTTCCAATTGAGCGCGTGCTGAGGTGGGAAAACGCTTCCACAAACCTTGCCTTCCTCGCTTTCAAAGATATGTTACGAATACCACCCATTGTTTCGTTGCACCGTTGCTTTCCAACCGACACTCGACGAGCTGCGCTCACAAAGCGGCGCGTGTACCTCCTAAAGCTGTCGCCATTGGCAGAAGAGGTAGCACTTGTGCGTTTGGACGACCGCCAGTCAAAGCAGCCGCGTCCAAACGCTGCTGGTTTTCGCGCCGCTTCGAGGCATGCGATATGGTCGCGCACTGCGAATTCTGTAAACATTGATTCCGCATCTTTTTGTGCTTATATTTTTCTTTTTCTGGCAGCTCGTGTTTGCCAAATACAGTATATAGAAGACAAGGTTTAAGCATTTTCCCATCAAACATCATCACTAGTGGGGAAACGCGTCGCCGCCAGCCCGTCTTGCAGCGTCTCACATGAACGGGACGCTAGGACGCGGCGACGCTAAGACGACGCGTCAGCCGCTTTGCGGCGTCGCTCGTCGACTTTCGGCGTGTCTTGGGGGGGGGGTCCACTAACGATGACGTCATGTGAAGGCATTGTCTTCTAGCTGGTGTTGGTCTGGCTCGCAGGAGCGAATATCCCCTGCTAGGCCGAGGAAGGGAAAAGCGGGGATCGACTGCGACGACAGGGAGGCACTCCGGCCGGGATTTACGGCGCCTCTTCCGCGGTTATTAATTTGGACGCCGATTGTGCGCCGGTGAGGAGCGGCCGCCCGGCGCTGCGCTCCTCTTGGACACGGTCCCGCAGGGGGCCCCGCAGAGGCTGTCGTGCCAGGCCGCCATAAAACGAAGCTCGCTTGCCTGACGGTCGTTAAGAAGCTCTCCCGGTGACCCTGCTGTTTGGCAGCAGCGCTCTTTGGCCTCCGCTAACTGCGCGGCTCGGGACGCTGAGATTCGCGAACTAAACGCGCGACGCTATTGATGAATGGCAAATGGCCATGCGAAGGCTGTTTTCCCTCTTTCGAATCCGGAAGCCGGGGATTCGCCGCTCTGCGCAGACTTGGAAGGGCTGTCTGGTTGAGCGGTCCAGTTGAGCTGTCCACTCTCTGTGCGCCTTCAGCTAGTACCACTTAGAAGACAAGGCTTGCGCGTAACGTCACCTTTGGCAAACCCCCGCCCCAAGCTGCGAACACGCTCGGGCTCGATAAGAATACGGTACTGAACTCTACCACAGCAGATATTTGTTGACGCGAAAAATTGCAAACGCGTGCCTCGTGGCGTCGATAGCGTTGCACTCGTGAGTCGCTGCAATTCCCGTAACGACGCGGACGCGAGTTAGGTGGCGCTGCGTGGATCATCTATACTCATTTTCACCTCAAGAACCGTAGTAGAAAAAGTACGGTTTCTCCCGGAGCATTACTGACTTTCCTCTTTATGCTGGGAATGGAGATATATGTGGGTGCATTTTAGATCAGATGTATGTTATCTTATCAAGACCTACACGTTTCAAACGCCAAAAGTATCGCTTCTGCTTCCGGCAAACAAATATTGTAGGAATTACTTCGCGCGGCGTAGGAACACGGAGCAAAACTTCCTTTTTTCTTGTGGTGAAAACGGGTATAGTGATGATCTTCGAGGAGGAAAGGCACAGGCTTATTCATCTGGGTGTATATACTGTACCACCAGAGACATGTTGAATTTCCGCTCTAGCCACTTACCATGGACGAAGCACCACGATTCCTGCAGCAGCTGTCCCAGAAGAAAGCAGTATACAGGAGAAGCTCCTTCCGAATTCTCGGAGAAAAAGTGTACCCCCCCCCCCCCCCCCCCCCTATACGCTGCTTAATAAAATTCACTTTTTTGTACCTAAAAAGAAGGACACCGCGAAACATGTGCTTCTATAACCACACACGGTTGCTTAGAAATTACCACCTTCCACAGCGCGGTGTATTGCAATAAGCGGGCCTCTGGCATAGGAGCCCTCTGCGTAGAAAAAGCTTGTTTTGCAGATTGTATGTTGCTACAGACTAGAGACGAGGCAGCTGAGAGACTCATGCTCAGCATAAAGCTGCGACGTCGGCCCCGTTTGAAAACTACGATTGCTCTTGTTTACACTGTTGCCAGAGACCACAAACCAACCCCTACTATTTTTGGGGTGAACACTTTCAACAACACTGCTCTTGGGTAGGTTAACTCGTCGAAGGCCAAATTGTCGGGCGAGACAGCCACTTCACATGGTCGTAATAGGACACACTCACCATTCGTTTCGATGTTGTGGTAGCCATTATAATATTACGCAGTTTCCCGCATCCACTAATTAATGAATACATTATTCCAGGGCTGAAAAGTAAACAAAATATCAACGCTTATAAATTCGCAGCCGAAATAGCAATCTCCACAACCCCAAACAAATATGATCGAGGTGGAGCAAAGCGTCAAACCACTGGCATTTAACCACTTTCCAACTTCGCAAGAACACTGATCATGACACCGGCCGGAAGCTCTTTATTGTGGCGGTCTGCTGGTCTACCCGTCGGTGTTTGATACGCAAGTAGCATCCAGCGGTCGCGCACACTGTGGCCCATAATCAATTATTCGGCGTCGCGGCCAGCCGTTTCCACGATCCGACGCATGAGGATGTCAGCAGAGGCGACCTCTCGCAACAATCATTCTAGGAATTCGTGGGTTCGAAACACCACGTGACAGTTCATCTCTTCGTGCAAAACGCCACTCATCAGAGACTGCAACGTTTCTACTTCGAAGGCAGTATCCCTAAGTCCGCGCAGTGTACGCGCGAGCAAGAATGACCTCCACCGTAGGGAGTCGCCTGAGGCACGGGTCACCAGAGCTCACGAGGACGTGCCTGCATGGTCCGATAGCATCGAGCGATGGCTGTCCATCGCGCGGCCTCGTTCACTTGCAGGTGTGTTCTTCCGTGCGCTCGCTGCACGTCTGACACCGCACGAAGCAGCACCAGTGGAACTTGCATTGGCACTGCCACACCCGGGTCCGCCGGTGCGTGTCGTAGCCGCGCCCGCAGCACAGCAGCCGGCAGCCGTCGGAACCCGTCGAAGTCCGATTGCAGAGTCGGCCCACGGTGCCCGCCGAGCCCCGACCGGGGTCCCGCTCGCAGTAGCTGGGCGACTCGTGCAGGTACACCAGGTCCCGCGGCTTGGGCCTCGCCACACCGTGCGCCGCCGGACGTCCGGCGCCCGGAGTGCGGGGCCCGCGGCCCTTGCGCAGCCGCAGGTAGGCCGGGCGTCGGCGGAGCGTCGAGGGCTCGTGCGGCCGGCTCCGGCCGTAGAAGGGCGCGGCGCGTCGTGCGCGCTGGTAGCGCTGCACCAGGTAGGCGCCCACCTGGGAGAAGGCCGGCAGGCTCTTCCAGCACGTCTTCATGGTGCACGATCCGGACACGCCGTGGCATTTGCACTCGGTCAGCAGGCCGAACTTGACCGCCTGCGCGAGAACGGACACTCGAATTGATCTTTGGTCTCAAAGCGTTCGCGTGATACTCGCCTTCCCCGTATCAAAGAACCAAAAATGGGCCGTTGACAAACGCGCGTGCAAGATGCCATTTGTATTGCTTAATAACAGCTGCAGACGCCAGCAGGTGCGGCACCTACATTACCTGTATCCTTCTCAATGCTCAGGTCTATTATCTTCATACATGTCTGCAGTTTTTGTGCGACCAACGTGATGCAAGTCAGGCCGCGGTCTGCAGACTGTCTTTTGTATCGTGGCCGAGGCTTTAGTGCCATTGAGGAGAGACGAATAGTGTAACAAGGATTTGTGAATGAGGGTGATGAAAAAGACAGGAATCCACGTTCGCCATGCATCACTGTTCAACTTCTCCCTCCTTGGACTAAATGTGAGCAGAAACGACCACGTGATAAATGGTATCCGCGGCGCGATTAGTGAATTGCTTTTAGGATATCACTTATTAATTATATGACTCAGTTAACCCCTTCATTAAACATGCGCTACTTATACAATCGGTGGTGTATACGGCTGACGCGGTTTTTCAATAATTTGCAAATGTTTAGTTTCGAAAGTAGGGATTTTATCGAAACGTTCTACTTTAAAGAGATTGACACTTATACTCTTCCTACTTTTCGTGTTGCTTTTTGTAGATGTAAAATTGGTTATATTCTGGTTAAAACGGGGATAATATCTGATTGAATAATTGACTGACGGATTAATTTTTGAATTTTTTGTATCTAAAACTTTTATTTGAACAGCGACGAAGAAAGACAACCTGGTATTTTTTCCCCCCTTGGAATTCGTTTAGCCTACCTAAAAGTGCTAAGAAAATGGCGCTCCACATGTTGCGCATAAAAGTAGTTGCAAACGAAAAATGATCGGTGGGGAACGACGAGTTTAAGGCGAGGTCTCTCCTATTGTTCGCGCATCGCCATTGGTCGTTCGGCGCTCTTATCGTCCAAAGCCGCCATCTGATTGGCTGCGAGTTCAACTAAAAGCTCGCAACTACGAACGACGCCCCATACGTTTCCCAAGTTCAGCTGTCGGTAACCTCGAAACTTGGTTCTAACAGTGCACTAACTATTGCCCCACGGAATAACACCCTCATCGCGCAGGATTTCCATCCAACGACGTTTGAGCGAGACATTTTCAGAAATTCGGTCTGGTAACTTTTATCTCTATCATTATCCGAGTATATAGTGTCTGTCCATGCTAATGGCGGCATTTGGTGGCTGACAAAGGAAGAGCTTGAAGCTGATGCGGTGAGTTTTACGAAAAGTTTTACTCGGGTAAACGCCTCATACAGAGGGGTAGGTTTTTGTCGTCGCCGAAACTAAAACGAATAAAGGAAAAATGCTACGGCGAAAAACACCGCCACTTTCGTATGTCTGCTTTTGACGTACGAACCGCCATTAGCATACGGAAAGTGAGACTGATACTTCAGCAACTAGATGGCACTGAATTCCTGAAAGGGTCCGGGAGCTGATTTGCCGACCCCCCAGATGTTATTCGACGGCAATCACTTTCCCGTGGGAACGGGATATTGGGTTTCTCTCCGAACCGTAGACGGAGGCCGCTAAAAGGGAGTTTTAGGGAACTGCGTTTGCACATCTGATACGATGGGTCCTACGGTACGCACTGCGCATCCGCGAGTCTTCTGCGGTCGCACATGAGCAGTGCGTACCGGAGGGCCCATCGTACCCTATCGGGTGGGCAAAAACGGTTCCCTAAGACTCTCTATAATAGCGAGTTTTAGTAGACCGCGTTTCCCGCTCCGCTAAGCCCCTCCGCTACCCGGAACTCTACAGCCAAGGCTATCGGCGCGCAGGCGCAGTGGCAGTTTCTTCGTAGCGGGGGGTTAGCGGAAGGGGAAACACGGTCTACTAAAACTCCCCAATATAGACTTTGTAGATCGTTCCGATGGCCCCGATAACTTCGCGCACGTATCGTATCGTTATCGGTGGTGTCGAAGCTATCGCAACGAATCTACAAAACTCTCTAGTGACTCCGTAGCGCAAAAATTCCCGGTGCATGTCTGTCCGTTACTGTAAATCGCCCCAGACAGCACGCCGACCCTGGGCCAGCGTCGGGGCAATATTGCTCACAATAATGGCCCAGTTTCACGTTTTTCACCACGGCCCAATATTGGGCCAATATCGGCTAACGATCGTTATAAAAATCGGCCAGAATCGGCGATACCATTCGAGTTCTGGGCAGAGATGGGCGAATATCCGTTAACATGGCCGCGGCCGCTGCGGTGTCAGTGGACTCAATTGGGCCAAGCCAACGTTACTAGAAGAGATCAGTTGGGAAACTTCCATAGAGCCTGCTCTGAAAAAGTGGCGCCGATCCGTACTCGAAATCCGAGCTAATAGCGATCGCAATGCCGCCATTTCTCCCGCACCGGCCACTCGAGGAACTGCACGTGACTGGTATTTTGGCGTCCATCGGCTATTTCAGGTCCGAAACAGATACGGTGGAAGGCGCTTCAAGGGTGCCACCCCCGACTTCCAAGCGGACGCGCCGCGAATTACTGCCGAAGTTAGGATGCACCAGGTAGGGACGCGCTACCTGAAGTCACCGCTGAGACATGGTTGTATAAAAACAATATTAATTGTGCCGAAAACCTTGTAAACTTAAGATTTAGAAAACATCACCCGCCCCTTCGTTTTGTACTAACCTCCAATAAAAGTCACTACAAAAAGAGTTTTTTTTTCCGTTTGTTTGTACGGAAAATCCCAGTTCTAGCCGCTGATTGCCCGGCGCGCTCTCGGCGCAGCCCGTGGCAACAGCGACGGCCGCCGCGATTGGCCGGCGCGATTGACCGATTCAGTATCGTTTTAGAAACGGTCAAGAATCTCTAATGCCGGCCGATATAGCCGGTTGAAACCCGACAAATTACCGGAAAACGGCACTGGATACTGTATATCAGCGTGGCGTTGTCCGACCCAGGTGATGTTCCACCGACATCGGCCACATTACAGTAATACTGGCCCGACTTTGACGATCCAGAGCCAATATAGGCAGTATCAAAACGATATTGGCACGATTTCTCCGATTCGACGCCAATATTGGCGCAATACTGGGTGCTGCCTGGGGCAGCGCAGCTTTAATCGCTTCTAGACGCTGTAACGAGGCCACTCGGCTGGTGCTGATCGCGTCCTGATGAGATTCAGCACGCTGCGTCCCTTGGACTTCTGCGTCGCGACGATAATACGGCGCTAGATCGGCGGTTGACGACAAGGCTGCAGGGTTCTGCACGTTCATCTGAACTCCTTAGCCGTTCAAAAAGTAACTAATATTTCTGCGATAGCTGGACACCATATTTGAGGTCGATGTTCAGAACGCGTGCTCAGAACGAGTTCACATTCAAGGGCTGCTAAGACCGCCAGTCTCGATGGTGCGGAATGCACGTTGCAGAATTGTGGAAGCTCGCCTTCAGCGCGCGTTCAGCCTTCACGCAATAACTATGGTCGCCAATGAATACTCCCTATAGACCCCTTTCAAAATACGGTACTCTGTTGGCAGCTGTGAAATCCCTACACAATGGCGGACTAAAACTTCAACGTCACGGCACATTGAAAATAAAAAACAAAAACAAAAAACACACACCATTAAAAAGATGATGAACGCAGTGACGGTACACTTTCGACCTTGTTTGATTGGCTCGTCGGCTCGTAGTGTTGGCCGTGCTCCAACGTTCACTATCTTATGAAATGACTTGCACCTTCCTCGATGCAGTCGCTCCGCCATTGTGCAGTGGTTCCGACACTCTAATAATCGGCACCTGACTTTTGAAAGGGGTCTATATATGCGGAGGGCTAGTTCGTCTGCTTCTTGCACTGGGCTTGCGATGATGTCAGAACGCCGAGCTCTTATTGACTGATCGAGAAAAAAAATAGCTGGTGGACCTCGAGGCATGCAGCAGCCACTATCCTTTCAATGAAAGCCAATAAGAGCTCGGCGTCGTTCTGACGTCACCGCAGCTCCTGCTCAAGAAGCAGACGACTTGCACTGCGCATTAGCCGGTCTTGTTCGTAACATCTAATAAAGTCATCACCTCGTTACAAAAAGAAAACAGTAACCCATCACGATGTAGAACACTGTGATCGAGAAGAGAAGAGCGTGAGCGCAGCGATTCTGGGGGGACGGACTCTTCAGCGTGGGCGCGGTGCAACCTTCGACAAATGTCCCGCCGCGCCGCCCGCTGAGCGATGACGCGGCAAGGAGCACACACCTCGGAGCCTGGAAGACGCTCGCAGCTGTTTCGTTTTTGTTTTTCTTCTGGGGGGCCTTCAGAAAGCGCCCACGGTCCTGTATGGCGCCGATGGCGGGTCCTTCCGGGCGGCGATAATTGATGTGACAAGCGAGCCGCACCGGGGAGGCACCTCCCGGAACTACCTTTCAGTAAATGAGCCCCGCAATATACGCAACGCAGTTTATATACGCGAAACACGCGATTGAAACGGCGTTAAAAGGCTATCATCAGTTCATTAGCGAGTCGCCAGCGTGTCAGCTGGTGATGCAACACTGGAGGACGTTCTGTCCGTTTCGCGGAAAGTGTGCTTTCCCGCTGCTACCTGGGCTGACAGCAGGCCGAGTAGCTGCCCCTTGGATGCACGGTTGCTCAATTTCGCGCATAGAGAAACCGACTGGCTGTACTAGGGGCAGTCGGTACAGATCACAGAGAGTACAAAAAAAAAGGGGGGGGGGGGGGCGAAGACGACAAGGACTAGTGGAATAACTCCAAGAACAGCGAAATATCTTCGTCCCTCCATTGGCTCCTCTGGTGCGCCCTGCGTTCTTCGCTCTTCTTTTTTCCCCCTTAATTGTGTACAACAAAAAAATATTCCAAAATCCGGAAGAATTTATGATTTTAGAACTTTATTTTGACTTTACGTAACTCACAAAAGAGCCACGACTCCAGAAACTTCCTTGGGGTCCAGCTCTGTTCCCATGCTGAAGATGTTTACGGA